CAGAATTCCCCAGCCAGCCTGGCTGGGGAATTCTGGGAGTCGAAATCCCCACATCTTAAAGTTGCCTAGGTTGAGAAACAGTGGTTTAGATGAAAATGGGGTCATGGAAGCATCGAACAGTATCTTTGGCAGCTGTTGCAAGTGAGCAGTAGTTAGCACAGTGTGAAAGAAAATTGCATGAGTGCCTCCTAAACTCTTAGCATTGTTTGCTTCAGACTATCAAAGTGACCTTGGATGTCCATTTGAATGGCTCGGCTGGAGACATCCTGGTTTTTCTGACAGGTAAGTGTTTCTTTGCTCCCAGGTCTGATGTTACTTTGTGGAAAATCTCTGCTCTAATTGGTATAATTAAACATCATATGAATTCTCAGGGCTTGCAGGTAGTCCTCGACTTACGACCACAATTGGGACCAGAACTTCTATCGCTAAGCGATCAGTCGTTAAGTGACTTATGCCCAATTTTACGACCTTTTTTGCCGTGGTGGTTAAGCGCATCACCATGGTCATTAAGCAAATCATGCGGTCGTTAAGTGAATCCAGCTTCCCCCATTGACTTTGCTTGTTGGAAACCCTCTAGGAAGGTTACAAATAACGATCACGTGACCCCAGGATGCTGCAACCGTCTAAATACATGCTGGTTGCCAAGTGCCTGAATTTTGATCACATGACCATGGGGATGCTGCAGTGGTCTTAAATGCGAGGACCAGTCGTAAGTCACCTCCTTCAGTGCTGTCGTAACTTTGAATGGTTGTTAAATTAATGGTCATAAGTTGAGGACTACCTGTATTGGGGTGGCTAGAAGATTGTAACCTAAATTGGGAACTTACCTAAATGGGAGAGCAGGAATGCAGAGAATGTAAACAGTCATCCATCATCGACTCACACAATAAGTTCTAGAGATAAGAGGAAGTTCAGGTAGGGTCCCCTTGGGAAGGGAACAAAAAGTGTTTGGAATTGGCTGGTTACAGATTCTGTACTATCATGCCTGCTCGCTCTCTCTTATACTATCTGTTAAGATTACCTTTTTCTGGAATTTAAAAAAGGTAGCTGTGTTCACCTCTCTGGGTGCCTGACACTCCTACTTGGAGTGACTGAGTAATTTTATACTCTAGTTTAAAACATTATATATTTTAAAATATGGTTAGCCACTCCTGCTGAGTTCAGGGAGCACCTCTTGCTTATTCATTAGGATGAGATGCTGCATTTCTAACCCAAAATCCTGTACCTGGAATACTGTGTTAATTTGCTCCTGACCAGAAATGAGCGTTCTGGAATTTTCTTCCAAAACATGTATCTTGCAAGTTTCTGCACCTAGAAATGGCTACCTGGCATGGCTTGCAGGCCTGGGTCTGTAGGTCTTAAATGTGGTATTACATAATCTAAAAAAAGACATGCCATTTGAATTTATTGTGACACCCAGAGAGGCATGCTGTATGAAAGGCACGGTGCAGAAATTTAAATGTCTATTATATCCAGCTGTTAGGAATATCAGGCTGGGAAAAAAATATCAAAAGGATGCAAAGCATGAATAAGCAATGCCTTGTCTCAGGAGCTTGGGCCTCTGAATATTTTCTAGGATTCAGAACATCAGTGGTCTCTTCTGGGTGCACACCCCAAATTCCTTATCAGTAGCTGCTGCTTCATTAGGAACTCATATATGAGTATAATTCATTTTTTAAGAGGAGGAGGAGGTGGCAAGAACAAGTTCAGAGGATGGCAATGAAGATCATATAGGGACTTGAGGACTAAAGAAATTGGAGATGTTCCATCTGGAGAAAAGAAGACGGGGGAGATATGATAGCTATGATCAGGTCCCTAAAGAGAAGCTACAGGAAAATGGCCAAGAACTATTTATTACTGGTCAGAGTGCACCTAGAATACTGTGTCCAGTTCTGTTCACCACAATCCAAGAAGGATGCTGAAGAACTGGAGAGAATGCAGAGAAGACCAATGAAGATGGTGAAGATCTTGGAGGCTAAATTCTAGGAAGAATGGTTAAAAGAACTGGGAGTGTTTAGTCTGAAAAGAGAAGACTAAGGGGAGACATGATAGCAGTCTTCCAATACCCAAAGGGATGTTGCAGAGAAGAAGGTGTGTACGTGTTCTCCAGAGTTCCCAAAGGTAGAGCAGGAACCAGTGGAGGGAAGCTTTACAGAGGGAGATCCAAGCTTCAAATAAAGAGGAATTACTGGACCATAAGAGCTGTTAAGCAGTGGAACAGCCTGCCTCCTGAAGTTGTAGGTGCTCCATCACTGGAGGCTTCCAAGAAAAAATTGGACAGCCATTGTCCAGGATGGTCTGAGGATACCTGCATTGGGCAGAAGGTTGGGTTCCATGACCCCAAGGTCCCTTCCAACCCAAGGATTCTATGATTCTGTTTGCAGTGACTATAGCAGTGTTTGAGAAGTGTGGACAAAGCAGACTTTGAGAAGTGTGGACTTCAACTCCCAGATTCCCTAGCCAGCATGGCTGGAGAATTCTGGGAGTTGAAGTCCACACATCTTAGAGTGGCTACAGTTGAGAAACACTGTTCTAGAGGGATGGTCAAGATGATTCTTGTGGTCTAATCCAATGCCATAATTCTACAATTCTGCAATTTTAAGATGGGAGTTTTATGGTGCAACTGATGGACACTGAAAAGGCACAAACTGTAGCAAGAACATACCGACTTTGTGAAAACTTCTGCTCTAAAAAGCAGACAAACACAACACAACAACAAGAAGGCATGGGAATGTCCGGACGATGCCTTGCTGAAACTTTGAAACCTTGTAGTTTCAGTACCTGTTGCAGAGTTTCTCTTCCCTTGCACCCAAATTTGGGTTTAAAAATAACAGGCAGCCTTTAAAACTGTTCCCTTTATGATGCCTGTTAGCGTAACATGAATAAGCTGGAGTGCTTAGAGGAGTAGATGCTTAAAAGATTTTATCTTGTTTGGTCGAAGCTAGACATCTGTTCCCTCCTGAGCTTGGAATAGACTTCCTTTCGGTTCTTCAAAACAGTATTTTAAAAAGGGCTTGTGGTTTTGCACTAGGGCAATCGGAGATCGAAAGGGCTTGCGAGCTTCTCTTCCAGAAGGCTGAGATGATAGATTACCGCTTTGACGTAAGAGATCGCTCCGTGGAAGGCTTACTCATATTGCCACTCTATGGCTGCATGCCAACAGGTGAGAGCTGCTTTTATCGCACGTATCCTGTTTTGTATCTCCTGCATTTTGCAGCATTCTGTAAAGCGTCGTGAGAAGATTTCTCCTTAGGCTTTTTTCAAATCTCAGTTGACTTTGGACTAAGGAGCTGGACAGGTCTGAGAAGTTTGCAGTTTCATGACTCCATAGACTTGCAAGCAAAAACACAGTTTTGAATAATAGCAGTGTTTCCCAATCTGGGCAATTTCTAAACCAGTGTTTCTCAACCTGGGCAACTTTAAGAGGAGTGG